GGTCGGTCGCTGGGGCCGGGGGGCGGGGGCGGGCGGGTGGTTTCACCGTCGATGAAGAAGCGCTGCTCGCCGCTGCCGACGCCGCCGCTGCCGGGAGGGATGCCGAGGTTGTAGCCGCTCTGCCGCATCCACGCGAAGGGCAGCACCGGTCCAGAGTACTCGCAGATCGGCAGTCCGGCAGTGAGGTCTCTCCGAGCGATGAGGCCGAGGCCGCAGTCGGTGGGGGCGACGTAGCAGAAGGGAGATATCGGCCTACTCGCGGAGGGTGCGCGTCACTTCCCTCCCCGACGCAACGCAGCCGTGGCGAGGCGACCGCGCCCGAAGGCGACCGCCGTGAGCAGCGCCGCGGTTTGGCGAGCGCTCTCCGCGAGCTGCTCGGCAATGTCCGCTCGCGAGGTGGGCACACGCGGCTCCGCCGACGGATTCTCGACGGGCACAGCCGCCGCGGCCGTGTGCCGTGTCTGTCGAGGCGGCGGCGGCAGGCAGGGCGGCACCTCGGCCTGGTGAGCCTCGCCGAGCTGCTGCTCCCTCCGCCACGCACCGGCGTTGCCGAGCAGACTCGGCCGCAGCGCCTGGAAGGCTTCGATGGGCGCGCGGTCGAGGAAGCTCTTGTCAGGCTCCCAAGAGTCGTCCTCCGGCGCGTAGCCGACCCACCGGACGAGGAACTCGCGCCCACCCCGCCGCTGCCGCACGTCGAGGATGCGCTCGACCTCAAAGGCGAGCTGGCCCTTGTCGGTGAGCACGGGCCCGCCCTCGCCGAGCTGGTTCTTCGCGTGATTCTCAGGACTCGGGCCGCGGCGCATCCGGCTCAAGCTCGTGTCAGCAAAAGTGCTCCGACGAGCAACGTTCGACGCTGAGCGCGAGCGTGAAAGAATTTCAGCGCCCCGTCTAAAATTAAAATCCCTCCCACAGCCCACCGTAAATCCGTCTTTTTCAGGCACCCGGAGCCCTCCGGCTCCGCGGCCGCTTCTACGCCGGCGAAGCACCATCAAGCTGCTGTACGGCCCCGGCATCGCCTCCCCTGGCTTAGCTCTCAGTCAAGATATTGTGCACATGCCACATGGGTGGCCTCTACAATATACTCACTGACACTGAACCTCCCAGAGCTCGTCCCGGTCCGTCACGGCCATCCTCGGCCTCCGGCGGGCGGCCCCCGGCCGCGGCGCGGTGCGGCGGCGCCGGGACGCGGTCGGGCGATCTGAGGGTGAGGCCCAAGTAGGCGAATGTATTGCCCACATCCGCCAGGGCTATCACCTGTGGGACCTATCAACAGGCGCCTGCGGCGCCGTGCTCAAGGAGTTGGTTTTCACTCGCTCGAAATGTGTGTGCGTAAAAAAGGGTTAACACCGTAGCAAAACAGTGTGTGTTCAGCTCCTAACGTTAGGCAACCCTACCGTTTTATAAAACGTGTCATGACGAGAAGTTCCCATAGTCTCTCACCGGGCCGCCTCTCTCTCTCTCGCTCTCTCTCTCTCTCTCTCCCTCCCTCCCTCTCTCTGTCTC